GTGGAGACAATATAAGGTTATGATGTTGAACAAAAACAATAGACTTCAGTTGCCATTCCCTTCCGTCAATGCGGACGAAATAAAAGTGTTTGTGGAGTGGATATTGAGAATCGGTAATGGCGATGTTGACGAGGTCAATGATGGTGATGCGGCAATTGAGATTCCCAATGAATAATGTTGTATACAATGAAGTTTTTCAGCGTATATGAAGGTACTCCTAGGTCTATTCTATGCTACACCGGTTAGATCTTTTCCATTCATATACACCCAAACACACCCACACCCACATTGGTATGTGTAGATCAACGGTAAAAAATCACCCGGTTAGTTTTCACCAGGTGTAGCATAGAAATAACCATTACTCCTATATAAAAATTTATACGGTAGAAAATAACAACCTTTATTTTATATTAGTTATATGTTTTGTTATTGCTCATTCGTAGCGTAATTGAATTTGTACTACAAACTTGCTCAAAAAAGTAATTTCTTAAAATTATTTTATATTATTAAACATTTATATTGGTATTGTTTTGTTAACGTTTTACTTCTTTCATATGATTATTGCACAAAATATGCAGGTCAACTGCAATGCATTGGAGTCGTTACACGCGTTTAGAGTTATTGGTATAAAAAACCTGATTGTTTGTATCGAATTCAAAGTTTGAACAGAGATATATCATTACTTTTTTTTTTTTTTTTTTTTTAATATTTACTACTTTTTTGTATTACATATCAACAATTGATCTTGCTATATTTATAAACTCTTTATTATTAAATATTTGTTTTTAAAATGATTACCCCGTGCATCGCACGGGTGTAGTACTAGTTGTTGTAAATTGGACACCTTACCTTTTCTTTAATCTTAAAGATAGATAATTTGCATAAATTATACTCCATATAAGTGAGGTACTCTCACCGTTTCAATAATTTTACTAAAAAAAAAATTGTATCATGTAAGTTGTAGCTGCTACTTGTTTTACTATTAATAATGTATGTTATGTATTTTTTTTACTTTCAACTAAAAAAATACGCATAATATCTCACGTAGTGGTGTAATTTTCTTAGCTTTGTGCTAATTTTTTTATCAATAATTAAGTGATGATATTGCCATTTTATGATACTCAAGTTTAAATTAAATGCACATATTAAATGTCATCGAAATTTCATATAATACTTTATTTTCTGTTTCTCAAAGGCTTCCTTTATCAAGTAGATGACTAATATTAATATATTATACCATATTCTCTTTATTCATTTATTTTATTATGAGAATACAACTTTTTGAATCATAAGTTGAATTCTTATTTTTTCTTTTGAAATCGAATTATGCTTGAACAATATGGTGAAAATTTATCCTCAGACAAAGTAATTTTCTAAATGATTCTAAATATACATTATTTTTATCGTTTAGTCGTTATTCTCTAAAGTGTTATTAAATAAAAGTTTCTTTGAAGTTCATCGAATTTGTAAATAAAATTTCAACCTAAATAAGAAGAAAAAAATATCATTTCTATAAAATTCTATGTTATGAAACACTGCTGAACAAAACAACTACCTAAACCGGAAAATCCACTCACCCTAAAAAAACAAAATATCATTTCTAGGAAATTCGATATTAAACACCGTAGAACAAAACCAATTCCTAAACCTGAAAAGCCCGACATCCAACTCTCGATACACATCAAGCAAATAAGTTTAATCTCTTGTACAGAAGTTGCCATTTTATTTCAATGCTAAGAAATTTGTAGTGACTTACGACAATTTTTTCGAATTTGCAACAAAAAATTGAAAAGCAAATAAAAAATGAATGATAAATCTACAAAACAGATAAAAGAGATCACACATAGCTCCTTGTACTTGCCAAATATAGTTGCCAACCGTTGACCGAAGAACTTGTAGAAACAAAATGGAGAAACATGTTTCTGTTAGTACACCAAAATGTGAAAGTGGAGAATTGCCCTTCTTTCCACTCTAAATATAATGCATTTTATAGTAGCAAAAAGGTAGTCAAATGGTCGATTTTAGTATTCATTCTCCCAAACTCCTCAAATTCTTTAACCCATTATTTGAATCGGTTACTTAAACATTCATGTACCTATTCATTTGTAGATTTACCTCTACGTATAGATGTGTTAATTTTTTTATTTAATTAAATTGTTTTTACTAACTTAATCACCTAGGGGCATTTTTGTATATAAAAAAATGGAAGAAACCCCAATTATATTCATCCTTTTATAGATAGTATAGATAGATAATAATTTAATTTAATCAAAAGTACGCTTTAAATAAATATTTCTAAATTTTTCTACTTAAATATGATAATATTAAAACATGAATTATTGGGACCATGGTTCGCGCGGAAACACAATGGGAACAGTCCTCCCATGCTGAAGAGTATTTGCGAAAGAGTACCGATAATTTGGTCGCCTTTTTCGGCGATCAAATGGTGGATTCGAGGTATGTGTATGGTGTTTGGAAAACTGGGATTAAATTGGAGAAATGTTGGATGGAGAGAGGTGAGATTGAAGAGGCTGCTCCAAACTCTACTTGAGCGTCTAAATCTGGGTCAATACCAGCAAAAACATCTCTGAACAAGGTTCTAGCACCTTGCCAAATATGTCTGAAGAAGAAGGGCAAAACAAAGGAAGTATGCCCAAAAGTAAATGTTGAGTGTAGATTTTACTCTCAATATGTTTACTTTAAGTGGATCTTTTGTTTAGATTTAATTATATTTGTGCTTTAATTGATTGATTTTGTGTTTTATAGGTTAAAACGAGAATTATGTGTCCATGAAGAAAGAAAGATCAAAAAGAAAGGAAAAAGTTGCAAATAAGGAAATAAATCAAATAGGAAGAAGGAATCTCGCAACAGCTTTGGCAGTGTCCACCATTTCGAGCATATCTCTCTCATACGAACTCCAAATCAGCTGATTTTGGCGGCATTGGCTACAATTTTTATTCACGCAACATTCCAAACATCGGGCTCCAACATGGCGGAAATCGAAGAACAAATCCTCATGGGGAAAAGTGGCGAAAATTGATTCCTATTAGGTTTCCACTACTTCCTTATCAAGAAAAGCCTATAAAAGCAACAAGTCTCTACACCATAAGGAACGGAATTTATACACCACAAAACGCGAGAAACGAAGATCAACGAAGACTCAAGTGTACTTTTTTCTTATTTAATTTTTTTTTCTTTATCATAAGAATCACGAGTAGCTAAGTCTTTATTTCTAGAATTTTATCCGAACCCTATGTGGGATTTATGAACGCAATTCTATGATCTTATGTAAGTTTTAATTCCGGATTATTTCTTCTACTTGTTTTATTAAGTGCATGAATTTGATCATCTTATGTGCTTTTATGTTATTGTTAATCGCATGAATCGGAAGATCGAGTTAATAATTAGAACTGTGGTAGAAGATCCTTTGTGGTATTAACATAGGAATATAGTTAATCTCTTAAATAGCCATTATTGAGATTTGTGCTTAATGATGTGTTCTATAATTAATTGCGTAGGAATACATTAATTGAATCTAGAGTATTAGAATCGTAATACACGCGGAAGCGAGTTATGATTAATTTAGCATCTCATGTTAATAATCTGAGTTAATTACTTGCATAATTGAAGGAATTGGGGGAGTAATAATTACATAGGGAGAAGAATAAAATCCTAGGCTTGTTTACTTTGATTAAATCTTCGTCTAAATTTCTTTCTTGTTTTTGCCTTTTTAATTTGTTTTAATTGCTTTACTTTAATTTAGTTTATTATTCATCTTTCGACTGTGTAGGGTGGGCTTGATAGCAATTGGTAGAATTTAGCGTCTAGGATTAAATAATTAAATATTATCTGTGGGATCGATACTTGAACTTAAAAATCCACTTTATTACTTGTACGATATGTGCACTTGGGTGTAGGTATTACCACCAACAGTAAACCATCCCCTTGGACTGCTACGAAAAACACCATCGGATTTCAAAGTCGAACGATCTAATTCAAAAATTTCACCCAATTGAGCACGTCTAGCATATTTTTTTACGGTAACAGGATCACTATAAATGGCTTCATTGAGTTCGCTGCCATAGAACTCAACGATTACACATACTTGTTCAACATTATACTTCGATTCTGCCCTCCTAAAAGGAACATCAGCTCTAACAATTCCCTCGCCGTCTACCAAAACGACTCGAATTTAGATAGTGATTGTTTGGGAAGAGAAGGTGGAGAAATGCGGCGGAGAGTTTTGTGTCTTGAGGAGAAGATTGATGTTTGTGTGAATGTGGTTCTTCTTATTTAGTATTTGATGGTTTGGTTAATCTCATTTCATCATTTGTTAAATCTTGTGTTTGATTGGTTGTTACATACAACAATTTTGTGCACATTCACTCATAAAATAAGGCCAAATTACAGTCAGCCATAAGATAACATTAAATTTTAAAAATTTCTCATGTTTGGGTAATTACAATCACTCATAAGATAAAATTAAATTTTAAAAATTTCTCATGTTTGGGTAATTACAATCACTCTCATCAACTATCTATTGTTTACACGTCCATCTTTATGACTTATTAAATGAGGGAGTTTTCGTAAGACAATAGTTAACTGGGAGAGGTTGTAATTATTTAAACAAGAAGGTTTTTTTTGGGACAAGTACAGATAAATTCCCAACTCAAAAACAAACATACGGGTCAGTCCCCAGTAATGTTTTACTAGCGGGTCAGTCCCTACAGCAAACATAAACATGCAGTTCAGTCCCTGACCCCACTTTTTTTCACTTTATACACTCTCTCTCCTCTCTCCTCTTTCCTCTCTCCTTTTTCTTCTATTTCTTCTACACTCTCTCTCATCTCTCATCTTTCTTCTATTTCTTCTACACTCTCTCTCCTCTCTCCTTTTTCTTCCATTTTTTCTCTTATGTTTCTCTCTCCTCTTCCTTTCCTCATATTCTCTGTTACTACTTTTTGTTTTCCGACCGCGAAAAAAAACTGTAATTTCCCACAATGGCAGCAAATGGTGAATCAAACCCCATCGCCGGTATTATTGGAAGTTGTCGGTACAGTGATTATCTGCACATCATTTCCATTAAGAATGATTTGACTTTAAAGGAAATCTATGAATCTATCTTAGTGAAGTGGAACGATATACATCCCGACAAATTGGTGCTCCAATACTTGGCTCCCCGTGAAAGAATGTTTGTCACACTGACTTCTGACGAAGACATGGTGAATATGGTTACATTGCATTTGGTAATGCACATGAGTGTAGTCGACATTATGGTGAGCCGCACTGATGAACTTGATGGGCGTAGAAGGAGGACCCCCAGCAACGGGTATGCAGCCATTCTGTTTTGTATGCATTTTCAATTTGTTTATGTGATCATAGCATAGAATATAATACTACATAGTATCGTGTTACTACAGTGATAGTGTAGAATAACTAAGCTCGTAGTATCATATAAGGCTACTAATAGTATGGAATGATTGTATATCAAGTATCTTATAAATTGAGTTCTCGTATGCAAGCATTCCACTCAAAGTACTTATTTCAATTGTTACAATTTATTTGTAGTTCACTGTAATAATCCAATTTGTTTCATTGTTTTTGCATTTTCCAGTGAGTCTGTTAGTTCCAACAGTCCGTTGCAAATTGAGTACAATCCGGTTGGAGATTCAATTGATGCATGGAGACATTGCATACGCGAGGTGAATCAAATTTTCAAAGATGCTAATGATTTTAGGTTTATGTTAAAAAATTACTGCATTGCTAACAATCGAACCTTTAAGTACAAGAAAAATGATCAACAAAAGATCATAGCCGTAGGCATTGTTGAAAATTGCAAATGGAGGGTTTATGCATCAGTTCATAAATTAGACAAGTTATTTGGCATTCGCAAATGTATTCTTGAGCACAGTTGTGGTGATGCTACTCTTCGTACAAGGGGTCATCCCAAAGCCGATGCTACGTGGATTTCGCAACTTATGAAACAAAAATTGAGAGATGAGCCAGGTTACAAACCAATTGCTATTTTGAATGAGGTCCAAAGAAAGTACGGTGTGGAGCTTAAGTACTATACGGCGTGGAGAGGTAAGGAGAAAGCAATGTATGACATTCATGGGGATGAGTCGAGCTGTTATGATAAACTGAGACGTTATTGTCGTGCACTGAAACAGAATAACCCTGGTAGTTGTGTCGATTATGAGATTGACCCTCAAACTCAAAAGTTTCTTCGGATCTTTATTAGTTTTGGAAATTCTATTTTGGGTTTCCACCGTGGGTGTAGGCAAATGATATGTTTGGATGGGACTCATATTAAAAATAAATACAAAGGTTGCTTACTTTCTGCTGTGTCCAAAGATCCAAATGATGAGTTATACACATTGGCCTATGCAATTGTTGATGCCGAGAATGATAGGAATTGGGAGTGGTTTTGTAATAAGCTGAAAGAGATTCTTGTTTATCACAATGGGGGTTTATTGAAAAATTACACAATTTTCTCTGATCGTCATTCGGGGCTTATTAAAGCCATTCCACTGGTATTTCCTGGTAGCAACCATGCTTATTGTTTGCGACATTTGGAGGATAACTTTAGAACAAAGGTTCTAAGATCGTATCCATTGCACAACAAAGCATATTGGGTGAGTGTTCTACATAAGGCTGCAATTGCTCCTACTCGGCAAGAGTTTGAGGAACATATATCTCATATAGTTCAATCAATGCCTCGTGCGGAATCATTTATCCGAGACTCTGATCCCAATCGTTGGGCCAATGCATACTTTTCTGGGGATAGATAGGGAATAATGAACAGTAACCAAGTTGAATGTTGGAATGGTTGGGTTAAAGATGAACGATCCTTGCCAGTTCCATCCATGATTGATATGATACGAATCAAAATAATGAAGATGATAGGTAATCGACGGGAAGATTCTTTAGTCATGGCTGGTACAGTGTGTCCAAGAGTTGAAAAGAGATTATTAATCAACTATACGGCCTCTCGCTTATTAAAATATACCAGATCCAGTGGTACGCGTTATGAGGTGTATGAAGAGGATAAGTTGTATGGTGTTGATTTAGAGACTAGGACATGTACTTGCAAATCTTGGCAGTTGGATAAACTTTCGTGCAAACATGCATGTGCAGGTATTGAGTCGAAAGGATATTCGGTATTTGAATTTGTTGATCCTTGCTTCCGGGTTGATTTGTACAAAGAAGTATACAAGTACACAATTAATCCAATTCCTTCATTTGATGAGGAATTTGATTTGTACAATGCACAAACAAATCATGGCCCGGAAGATGTATTTATTAATCCACGCCTGCATCGAAAGCTCAACCAGGCCGTAGAAGGACGAAAAGAATTCCATCGCAAGTCGAAACCCGTGTTATGAAGTGTGCACGGTGTGGTAAACCTGGACATAATCGCCGTACGTGCAAACAACCAGTCCCGTAGCACTACTCTGTTTCTACTTTCTTTTTATGTTGTTTGTACTTTGTTGACATGTACTTCGTACTATTTATCCATTTGTATGTAATATGATATGACTGTTTTAGTTACAATAGAGCGCACTGTTTTAGTTACAATGGTATTGTTGTTACGTTGATATAGTATAACGTACAACATAATATGGTTCACAGAAAAATAATAAGTGAATCGATTTGAATTTTATGACCGTTACAATAATATAGCCGTTATTTTTGTCGTCAGAACTTATAAAAAGCACGTAATTATGTTCATTTGCTTCTCATTCATGGCTTCTTCCAGTAGCAACTCTCAAAAGAGTAGCTTAAAATATAAAAAAGATAACTGCAAGCGTCATGATTGTGGGAAAAAAACAATAATCATGGTCTCGGAGACAAGTTTGAATCCATGGAGGCTATTTTATTGTTGCCCAGACCATGGCTATTCTCATTGGTGTGAGCCATTTGAAATTGGGCAAACTTTCTCCCACAACTATTCTCGATATGAAGAAAGTGAAGCTACGAGTGGATCAACGAACCAAGTTCATCGCGAAAGTAAAGTGAAGAATTCCAGAGATGAAGCGGGAGTAATTCAAAGTTTGATAGTGTTAAACCTAGTAATATTTGCAGTTTACATGATTTGTCAAACCTATGTATTGTTTCTTAACTAATCACCGTAACAATACAAGTTAAAAGTTAGTGTCGTGTATTGTAGCTCGTTAATCGTATTGTAATGTCAATGTGTAAGTACTTTGGGTACTTACAAATAAATTAACTCTATCGATGAATCAATTGTTGTTGTTCGTAAGAAATGTACTCATACAATATAGTGATAGTTATTGTTCTTCTAGTGTTCTGTATATCATATTCACAACTCACGCATGGATCGTACAATATCTACGTATTATAGTTCCCACGATATAGTCCTTATGTACTGTACTAATGGTACCCTTGTTATAGTACCATTTGGGGTCAACACGACCATAGAAAACCATCTCATCCCTCATTTATTCATTTTGTGACTCATTTACAAGAATTGAGACAACTTGGGAGTTGATAGGTATTGAATATGGTCACTTGTGATGAAAACAATCACTTATACATAGAAGCCTTGTACATTAGTAGTGTATCTTGTAAGGAATTCGATACATTTGTTCCTTTTCGGACGCCAAAGTCAAAACTAACCTGAAAAAACCTTACAACCTTAATTTAAAACATATTATATGTCTTTCCCACACTTATGTATCACAAATGTATAAAACAATATCGAGCAATTCAAGCCATCAATATTATGGTGTTGATTGGTCTAACGACTAGTATAATCGGTGGCGTGTATATGGATGGACGGAACCGTTGTTTTGTATCTGTTTGCCAACGATATAGTACTGATGTACTTTACTAATAGTACCCTTGTTATAGTATCATTTGGGGTCAATAAAACCATCGAAAACCATCTCATCCCTCATTTATTCATTTTGTGACTCATTTACAAGAATTGAAACAACTTGGGAGTTAATAGTTGTTGAATGTGGTCACTTGTGATGAAAACAATCACTTATACATAGAAGCATTGCACATTAGTAGTGTATCTTGTAAGGAATTCGATATATTCTTTCCATTTTGAACCCCAAAGTTAAAACTAACCTGAAAAAACCTTACAACCTTAATTTAAAACATATTTAATGTCTTTCCCAAACTTATGGATCACAAATGTGCAAAACAAATTTGAGCAATTCAAGTCATCAACATTATGGTATTCCTCATTTTAGGTAATGGTATAGATGGGGTAGGTTATACGCATCGACAAGAAACTAACAGAGTATTAAAAACCAATTTGCAAAACACTTACACTATTCAAAATAGGTGTCACAACACCACAAAAAGGGGACAAGTTTTAAAACCATCATCGCACGCAAACACTAATCTAAAAGTACTTGTTCATGACAATCACAACCCAAAAACACCCATAAAACAGATTGTTCAAAAATAATAAAAAATAATCAAAAATAATTTTAAAAATTGTTCAAAACATGTTCAAAGCATCAGCATCTACTGTCCTCTATCCACGCCTTGGTGCTTTAAGAAGACAAGTGCTAGTTTTGGACGGAGTTTTTTGATCAAGCAAGTTTTCGCCTTTTTCCAAGTCTCAGCGTCATCTCTAGCATGGCAATATGCCCACATGCAGACAAAAATCCCGCATTCATCATTCCCTTCTTGTTGTCTGCATCCTTCTACCCATTCGACATGTGAAGGTATATCCAACACGGTTTTATTTTCAATCACCCTGCTATAATAACTCGCCTACAAAAATATACTATTATATTAGTATACATGTATTTTCATTACCATATTGCAGTACCGTTCAATCACAGTACCCAAACTATGGATTAATAAAACATATACCACATTCCCCAATATATAAATTAAAGAAGTAATCATCGATTTAAGGACTTACGATATAATTTGCAATTCCTGGGCTCGTCGGAGAATGGGCTAGGGAGTTCCAATGCCGAAAAACTTTTTTGTTTGGGTCCAATACAAGCAAGAACCAGTGATCTTTGGATTTATAGGTATCAGAACATATTTTTTGCTGTAGAGACGTGCTATTCCAAGCTTCTCAACTACGGTAGATCTAAAATATGTTAAGCTCTTTAAAAAGGTATCCAACTCTGTATCACCCATCTTTCTGAAGTCCATTCGATCTCGTGCCAGTATCTCATACTACGAAACATAATAAAAAAAATATAAGATAAACCAGTATACACAGAATGCAACATATTTGTTAAACCAGTATACACAGAATGCAACATATTTGTTAAACCAGTTTATACCTGGGCAGGGGTCTCGAGATAATCAATCTCATGCCCATGTTCATCCATGATCGCTTCGGAATTTAACAGGCTCATGTATATATCGATGTGCTCCCCACTCAGATGCTGATCAAACAAAAGATCGCACATATGCTTTCCAGTCAATACGTTTGGGCCTCTTTCGATCACAATTGCACTACAATAGAAATAAACATGCACTATTTGTTTAGTACCCCGATACTACATAAGAAGTTATTATATACCAAATGTTCAGTAAGTTAGTGATTTTACCTCAAATCAACATCAACGAGGTACCCATCCAGTACTGCCCTCTCTACATCAGTAAGCTCATCTCGACATACATAGTCTGTTCTCCCCTGGTACGTAGAATTATCTACGACAACCTATATCCAAAGGAATCATTAGTGATAATAGTAATAACAATAATAATAATAATAATAATACTTATTATTAAATTATAAGGCATAATTACTGTTGTGGGCAGTTTAGCAGAGACTACGCTGTTTTCTTGTCCTCGACTCTTTCTTCTTCGATTGTCTTCTCTTGCCTTCGACCTTCTCTCCCTCTCCATGTTCAGTACTTTTATCAAGGTTTCTTCTTCTTCTTCTTCTTCTTCTTCTTCTTCTTCTTCTTCTTCTTCTTCTTGTTGTTCTCCTTCTTTCTCTTTTTTTCCTCATCTCCAAGTTCTTCAACAGCATTAAAAAATTTATCTGCCTCATCCACTTCCTTTTTCCCTTCATCTTGCTCCTCTTCCTCTTCCTCTTCCTCCTATTCCTCTTCAAAAATAAGAGCTCTTCTTCTCTTCTTCTTCCCCTCTGTCTATTCCAATCTCACATTCTTCCTCTTCACTTGTTGTGCATTTCCAAAATGCTGCTGCAGTTCACATAAAATAAACAATGATTAATGTAATAAAACAACATCACGTTGGTTTACAAATGGGACATGTCCATCTCATTAATAGTACTCTTCACTTACACGCCTGATTTCGACTTTTCCACCGACCTCCAAAGCTGCAACAATAGGACCAGATAGTTCTTTCACAGGTGAAACCAAAAACTTTCTCTCTTCTTTGTGCACGGAGAATGATATCACCTAATAAACATATAGACAAATTGTACATTAGTTTATTACGTAAGCAAATAACACAATGAAAATGCATAAATCAAAATTGTTACCTTGTCTGGTGTGAGTTCTCTAAAAAGATGTTTAGCCTGACGTTCATCGGCTGGTATTTTAGAGTCGGACCATCGAAAAAATCTTGGGTATTCGAAAACGCTTATTGCGAATCCCAAAGAAGTGATCCTTTCACTCACCCATGCCAACAACCCAATGGTGCAACCATCAAAATACCCTCCTGCCCCAGCCAAGTGTGCCTCAATATTTTCAATGAGCACATCATACACCAACTTTCCCCACGCAAAATCTCCTACGCGCTCCAATTCGTCAACATGTGGATAAACGTACCTCGGCAGTTGAAAGTTGCCCTTTGGCAATAAGAAAGTATTGCAAGCGAAAATAATGTACAACCTACAAAAATCCTCAATTGATTGTTGGTCGGTCCTAACAGCATACTCTTCCAATTTTTCAGCAATTTGATGACGCTTTACTTGGGTCAATTTACCCCGAAAAACACGTCTAATGAAAGGAGTTTCTATTTCCAGGTTTTTATCGATGGGTATCCCCTTAAACTGTAGTCCCATCATGATACAGAACTCACTAGGATCAAAGACGACAGGGATAGTTTTACCTCCAAACCAGAACGTACGTGTCTCCACGTTGTATGTCTTCTTCAACAGAACAGACACCTTTAAGAAACTATGGTATATCTTAGGCATGTTTAAGAAATGCCCGAAAGGATTTTCCTCCAATGCAGCATAGTGTCTGGCCGTCATCATAGGTTTAATTATGTCCATTTGTTCTTTGAAGGCGCTAGGAGAGCACCTGCATGCTTGTTGGGCGTAATCATCTGCAAGTGTATTACGATTATAAAGGAAAAACAATAATCAGAAAAAATACAATTGTAAGATAACAATGGTACTATGTAGGTATTGTAATTATACCGTCACTATATTGTATCAATACCATACACCTACAGTACTTATATTATTGGGCAATACGACATATACTATTTAATTACATCAGAAGAACTGCCATTACCTTTTTTTATACCTTCTAACTACAATAGCACTACCGTTGTGTAGTAAGACTTGTATTATTTAAACACATCTAATGCCCAAAATCAAACCCTTGTTATGACAAAAAGTGATTTGGGAAAATACTAATATTTCAGACGAATGATACCCAAGAGCGAAAGTGTTCAAAATCATGCAATTCCACAGAAAATGAACAATTTTTGCAAGCATAAACAAGAAAACAACATTTTATTGGAACCGGTTGTTCGATTTTTTTATTTCAGAAAACCCCAATCTCGCCGTTGGATACTACCCACTACTGGAAATGTTCAAAATCATTCAATATGAGAACATACAGTTTGTTTTTTGCAGAATCTGAAGAATCGCTTGCACGAACAAAAACTGTCCGAAACCGTTGAGGAAATGGTTCGAAAATTGAATGACAACGGATAGTTGAAAGGTATGGAGCGTGATTCTCAACCGGCGCGTGAAAAGTAGGTGAAAAGTTGTGTCAGAATTTGCAGGTAATTTCAAAATAAAGTGAAGGGCTTTTCGGTCTTTGCACACCAATTAGGGTGTTAAGTGCATATTTATGTTTGATTTAGGGTCCAATACGCTTAAAATATGTTGTTGGGAACTGACCCGCACTTTATGTTTGGGTTTAGGGATTTATCAGTATTTGCCCCATTTTTTTTTTCATAATTTAATTTATTTTTTTCATAATTTAATTTAAGTTCAGGCCATAATTTGTCCAATGTTTTAGATCTAAAGGAAATACTGATTGATACAAGAGTTTAAAATATAGAAATGATCAAAAGTTATGTACTGAAAAGCAACATGTAATTTCTCATTTACCAGTTCGGCTTTATTCTATTGTACATACTACATAGTGATGTTTCACTTGCCACAAAACCAAAAAGAAATACACTCCCAAAATATACCACAGCCGGACAAACCAAAAAACTTGCTGAAATACAAAATTAAAACATAATTAACCAGAGATGTGAATGGACTTGACCTCAGGCTTCTTCACCTCCTCTTTCGGCACAGTGACAGTCAGCACTCCATTCTCCATAGCCGCCTTCACCCTCTCCAATTTTGCATTCTCCGGCAGCCTGAATCTGCGGATGAACTTGCCGGAGCTCCTCTCGACACGGTGCCACTTGTCGTTCTTCTCCTCTTTCTCTTTGTTTCTCTCTCCGCTTATCTGAAGAATATTCCCATCTTCAACCTCAACCTTCACTTCTTCCTTCTTCAATCCGGGAACATCCACTTTAAACAAGTGTGCCTCCGGCGTCTCTTTCCAGTCGATCCTAGCGTTTGCCACCGCGGTTGTTTCTCCGGAGGAGATAGGGAGATCGGAAACGGCGGAGGAGAATGGGAAGCCCTCAAATGGATCCCAAATATCCAATGAAAATGGATCGAAGACGTTGCTCCGGCGGCCATTGCCAAAGAAGCTCGGAATCAAAGACATTTCTTAAAAAAATAATGCTGGATGGATGATGAACTTGTTGATTTGGTTGTTGATGAAGAATTTGATAGTTTGAAATAGCAGATAACTCAGTTTCTAACTTTCGATGGGATTTGGTTGAAGGAGCACGCGAATTTATATGGATGATCAGACGATTCCTGCAAATTCTTGAAATTTCAAGAGCCAAACCGATTTCGAACATGTTCTAGAAAATACTTAATTGTTCTTTGCTTGGGCCTTAACTTTATATTTTGGGCTCATAACTGAAGAAACTTTTGTAGCCCAATCTTACTATAGGAAGAATAGAATAGAAGAAGAAGAGAAATAATAATACGTAGAATAGAAACCCCCATTGTGTTATGGGTTGATTACATGGAATATATATAGAGAAATATTGCAAGGTAATAGAGTTTGACTAGGTAACTAAATCCTAACTAATCTAGGTAACCGAATCATACTAGAATCCTAATATTACAAGAGTTCTATAATATAATATTCTCAATATTCTCTAACACGCCCCCGCAGTCGAAACGTGACGAACGTGAAGACTGGACAATCACTTGCTAACACGCTCCCGCAGTCGGAACGAATATACTCCAAAAGTGAAGACTGGACATAAACTTGCTAGCACGCTCCCGCAGTCGGAACGAATAAACTTCAAAACGAATAAACTTCAAACGTGGAGACTGGAAACTTCAAACGTGAAGACTTGGAAACTTCAAGCGTGAAGACTGGACAGAAACCGCGAAACACATCGCTACAGAATTCCTCTGTGGAAATATCTGTCCAATTGATAAAAAAATATAATAATAATAATATGGAGAGAATTTTTTTTTTTTTTTTTTTTAATCGAGAGAGAGAGAGAGAAGATATGAGATGGGGGAGATTTTTTTTTTTTTTTTCTTTTTGTGAATCGAGAGAGAGAAGATATGAGAGATGGGGGAAAATAATCAAAAGAAAGATAGAGATTAAAGAGAGAGAAATTAGATTAACCGACTAAGAAGAAGAAGATGTCGGAAAATAATATAAGTTACCACCACCGGGGAGGGAGAAAATTGGTTTGGTGGTCGCCGGCCATGGAGAAGAAGAGAGGCATCGGCTAGGTTTTAGGCCATAGGCCATGTAGAAGAAGAAGAAGAAGAAGAGGAATAAGAAAAAAATAGAGAACCATGGAGAAGAAGAAGAAAAAGATAGAGAACCACCGGGGGAGGGAGAAAATTTGGGTGGTGTTCATAGAAGATAGAAAAGAAAAAGATAAATATTAGAGTACCACCACCGGGGGAGGGAGAAAATTGGGTGGTCACCGCCATGGAGAAGAAAGACGGCTAGGTTTCACCGCCATGGAGAAGGAAGGCGGCTAGGTTAAAAAAACCTAAACCTGGTGCTCTGATACCATATAGGAAGAATAGAATAGAAGAAGAAGAGAAATAATAATACGTAGAATAGAAACCCCCATTGTGTTATGGGTTGATTACATGGAATATATATAGAGAAATATTGCAAGGTAATAGAGTTTGACTAGGTAACTAAATCCTAACTAATCTAGGTAACCGAATCATACTAGAATCCTAATATTACAAGAGTTCTATAATATAATATTCTCAATATTCTCTAACACTTACTACAATCCATCTGCATCACCTTTAACCATAGTTATGAATTCATTTCGGGGTTTTTTCCACTTCATTTATTTTGTAGTATTATATATCGGGGGTAATTTTCTATAGGCTCCCATTAATAGATTCTACAGGTATTAACTCAAGTTATAAGTCCAATTTTATTAGAATCCCTACAATTAAGAGTAAACTGCAAATACTACCCCTGTGTTATCTTAAAATAGCGAAAACCCCCCCGTGATAAATAAACTAGCAAAAACCCCCCTGTGAATTTAGTCAAAGGCAGAATCCCCCCTAGCTGATTTTTTAGACTTGAAATGACAAAATTGTCCCTCAAAATGTATTTATATATATACATATTATATGCATATTTATTCTTTTTAATTTGTTTGTTTAGAAATTAAAAAAAATAGTAAACAACGAAATTGATTATTTTTTAAATAAAATAATTAAAATATTTATAAAATATAAGAATTTATTAATTGCAAGACTCCAGGGGTATTTGTGTCTTTTTATATCAAGTCAACTCTCAAATAGTTCCATAGGGGGGTTTTTGCTATTTAAATAATTTCACAGGGGAGGTTTTTGCTAGTTTATTTATCACAGGGGGGTTTTTGCTATTTCGAGATTACACAGGGGTAGTTTTTGCAGTTTACTCCTCCAATTAATTATGGCCAATATACCCTTAAATAAAATAGGAAATTTTTATTCTTAAATCAATAAATAGCGAATTTATTCTCCCTGAACCCATCTAGCAAAAATAGGGTCGTGATTATCTCGATCGTTGAATCTCTCCTAGAAACAAAAAATTTTCTCCCTTTTTATGCGAAACAAATACTGTAATCCTAGAAAAAATCGTGAAATTGATTTTTCTAATCGTTATTCTCGTAGATGTAAATTTCAAAAAAAAAAAAAAAAAAAAAACAGAGACAATGATTAAAGATGGAAAAAGTTCAGGTGATTTGCTCTTCTATGTCTGTTCTTTTATGTTTTTAACGGCGATTTATGCACGAATTGTCATGAACATTTTGGTCAATGGATCCAAAGATGTTGATATTGATTCTTCGACCCCAATTACCATATTTGTTTTATGTGAAAATCATTGGTTTCTTGCTTTTGATTTTGTTGTTTTTTATTACATAATTTTTTTATGTCGATTGCAACATTTTATCGGTTTTTGTTTGGATTTTTTTTTTTGTTTTTAGCATAGTATATTTTGCACTTTGCTTTTTGTTTTGGATTTTACTTATATGATGCATATTTTGCTTTTATATTATATTTCATTTCGACTTTGTTGTTATCATAGTATAAGTTGCACTTAACTGTAATATTTGCAGTTTGGTGTCGTAACAAATGGTTTCATCTATCATAACAAAATACTTGTTGAAAATAACTTATTGTCATTGTATCGTTTGCATATTGCAGTTTACTGTTGACAATTACATTTGGATATGGTTATTTGCATACTTTTATTTGGTTGTTGTTGCCACTATTTTGTTGATGTTGTTGTAGTTTATATTTTTTATGTTGTTGTCTGCAACGTGAAGTTTGTTGATGTTGTCCCTTTAGACGGTTTTCATTTTCACTTTGGCAGTTCTGCATATTTTAATTTGCAGCTCGTTATTGCAAATTAATATTAGTTTTTTCTTCTTCTTTGGGAATAACTAAGAAATGTTTGAAATATTTTTTGGTTCTCTTTGTAAACTCGTATTAAAATTAATGTGTGTGTAGCTTTTTTTTTTTTCTTTTGTATTTTACCGTTTCATTATGTATTGCATATTGCAATAGTAATTGTATTTTTTGCATCTCGTTTTTGCAACTTCGAACATTGTATTTTTCTATAGGGATTCTATGATGCGTTTTGATATTGTAAATATGCATTGATGAAAATGTGTGCATATTATAATTGGAAGCTTTTTTGGTTGAACTTGCATTTTACCGTCGTTGCAACTATAGGTCAGAAGAAAACAAACAAGAGATTCATTAGAGGTTGATGCTACTGACACGATCATGTTCTAAAAGATCCTCGATGACGTTTGGAAGTTATGAATTCAGTTGGACGTCGAGACTATGTTCGTTATGACATCACCCCAGCCATAATCAGTTATGATAGATTGCAGTTTTTTCATCGACTATACTGCAACACTGCTTGTATCTATTGATTTGTATCTTACAATATTTTGTATTTAATGTATTGATTTATTCCTAAATAAAAATGGTTTGTTGGTTTTTTATATCATCTTTTATTTCATATCTTATATTTTGAAAATATTTTATATTGTTCAAGGAAGAATAAACTTGCACCTCTGATGTTTGAGCAAATTATCATTAGTTTCATACTGTGTTGTTGTGAAAAGATATTTGTAAAATAATATTTTTGACGTATGGTAGGTGGTTCCGTATTATATTTATTTTGCTATTTATTTATGTTGTTATAAATTGCAGTTTGTATATTGGTAATTGTATTTTGCAATTTGTTGTTGTAACTTGACACAACTTAGAGTGAGAGAGCCGTGAGGCTACTAAACTAGAAAAGAAAAAAAAAGAAAAAAAAAGGAGAGAGAGAGAGAGAAAGACGTGATTGAGAGGAGAGAGAGATAGGAGTTAAATCAGAGAGAGACGTGAGGGAGAGGAAAGAGAGAGGAGTTAAATAGAAAGTGAAATGTGAGATTTTATTCATATTTTCCATAACTAACTATCTTAATATAAATAATAATTAAAGGTATTAATGTCAATAGAAAAATAATTTAATTTAATTTATATTATATTTATTGATCAAGTGACTTATAGCTATAATCAACTAATAAAATGGACCCCATCTATATAAATTTCAAATAAGGGGGTTCTAGCTAATTATCCATATATATTGTAGCGATTATTTTAGAGACCTCCCTTATTTAGTACGCTTAACTTCGGAGGTCTGATGGGATCCGGTGCATTAGTGCTGGTATGATCGCACCCTTAAGTCTATGCACGTAGTTTGGTTTTATGTTGAAAAACTTGTGCCGTAGTGGCTTAAAGCGTTGATAACTTTTGACTCGGATGAGTTTCGAGGCGATCTGCATATGAAAGCGAAGCTCTTTCAGGCGCCGTCGGCATGTCAGTTGGGCAAAGCCCCATTGACTCTTCGCTCGCAGTGAAAAGAGGTCGTTTAGCTTAGTTTCAGCCACTATTAGACGCGACCGACGCGTTTGTCGATGCAATCAGCTCATTTGATTGATCCGACCGGCCCCAAATTTGCGCTGAGATATACATTACATTGATATATAACTAATCACCTAACTAATTACATCCTTGTACCTACTCCTTCATTTTGAAATTAATTTGATAGACCCCCCTAGCCCACCCTGATGTACTTAAAATGCCTTTTTAAAATCATTTTTAAACCCTGCCACTCACAGTCGTCTCTCTCTTCCTCTCTCAACTCT